TCGGAAGTGCACCAAAATGGCGTCTCCATACAAAGCTCTATAAATTTGGCCGAGACGCTTTTCCGAATAACACGCAATTGCAAAATCGCATATACCTAGATCTTGGCACGATTGTTTATATATCAATCATCTATCATATTCCAGATTCTTGACTTAATTTATTGAATGGTTACGATTTTTATTTTTGATTACGTGACAGTGCAAACCAGCAATGACCTGACTTGAGCCTACGATCCAAGCTCTAAACATGAGCTCACGTGATACGAGTCAGCGGATACCTTCATTTGACAGCTGTCGTTTAACTATAACATGGATGTTCAACATCAAAGATGTACCTGTGGTAATGGTGCTACTATCTTATTTTTCAAGGTATTGGCCTTGGCGTGCGGACGTGCGAACGGACGTACGGACAGTCACGTGACAACAAAATATGTTTAGATCGATGGGTTACCAAATTTTCTAAGGTATGGGGCTCCGTGCCTTCGGCGCGCCGGAGCTACGCTAACAGTCATTTCAAGAGCGCCATACTCCCCTAATATGGTGGTGTGCCTGAGTGATTTAGCCATCAGTAGTCTCTCCCTCAGGCAAACCGTTAAGGTGGTATTAGTTGTAGAAACAAAGTGATAGAAATTATGTTAGATCTGCAATCATAAATTTTATTATTATTATAATCATCATCATCAAAATCATCATCATCATCATCATTATTATTATGATTATTATTATTATTCAACAACTGTCACTGTTCCCATACAGTCGGTAAGTCCTTGTTGTCTGTTCTCCATACATACAGCTTTAACAGATACCTTACGATATACTTAGTTTGCTAAGTGTCGTCAAAATCTTGCAAAGTAATGTTTAACCACAGTTCATCTCGCTTTAAAAATGCGCTTCATTGACAACTAAATGAAATAGATCGGTTGAAATGATAACAATAATTTTAAAAATTTTAAACAGCTAAATCTTTTGGAGCTAATTAATTGTCTCGGAACCGAGGTCAGCAGACTTGGATGTAAGTGCGAATTCAATGCATGCTCTAGCCAATAAGAATGGAGATCGTGACATTATTTTATTTAAAAAGTACTCATTACTGGCGCAAAATTTCATGCCCTTCCACACCAATTAACAAAAATTGATTGATATAATCATTTCAAGGGAAACACTAACTTCAAATATTGTTAGTCTTCGCCAATTACAACGGTTACCAAGCGTTTCTATTTAGTTTACGACTTGCTTTTGTATGTATTGGTTGCTACATTATTCCAATAACTGAGACCCGTGCTCTCTCGCATTGCCCGTTATAATGGTTTTAAAAACGCTAATCAGCAAGAAGTATAACGTTTAGCATCTACAATATGTATCTGTTATTTTAATACACTTCAGTTCTACAGACTACAATACTTGAAAAGTAGCCTCACTATTTACTGAAACAATTGTCTCTGTCATGCAACCAGAAAATAAATTCCTTTCGTACATGTAATGTAGCTTTGAACTCATTTGCTCAAGCCTTCAAGAATGTTTATACAAAAAATCTAGGGAGGCTGTTCCAGTGTTTTTGCTTGTCACATCAATTACAGTGACCTCGATCTCAGTCCCCCCAAAATACAAGCAGACGCTGATTTCGCGATCCTTTCCCTTGGAGATGTCGGGAGAAGAGACTATTACCTTCCCTATGGATGGACCAACTTCTGGGTCTGTTGTGAACTTTGCATTTGGATTACTGGGGGCATAAAATTCAACCTCGAACGACGTTTGGCCACTTGTTGTGGGTGCGTAAGTGAAATGCCTTCTTTCTTCAACTTGAACGACTTCACCCTCTTTAACAAGAACGCTAAGGCAGTCCTTGCAGTAGGTAACTCCTTCCAATTCTTCCTTTTTGTCGATGGGATGAATACTAGCATCAAACAGACT